TGATTTTGGTTAAAATAATTTTTTGTATCAGGACACGTAGATTGTCATGAGGAACAAGTAGATTGAGGCCTTGTTCACACCAAATGCAGAGCAGATCTGCATGAGTTTCTGCACAAGCAGTGCTGTGGGTTGTGCCACGTTTTTTGCCGCGTTTTTGATGCGTTCCGGGCCGTTTTTTGGTTAAAAAATATATATATTTTTAGGGCTGGTAATGATTAAAATTTTCGTGTTCGATTAATCGAAAAAAATTTTAATCGGTTAATTTCGATTAATTATAACGCACATACAGATCCAACTACATTGGCCTATACACATACAGCACAGCAATGAAGTAATACAATGTTTGGTCAGCATGGTCACTCATTGGACCAATGAGAAGCGCTTCTTAGCATGGTTAAATATGATTTTGGTTAAAATAATTTTTTGTATCAGGACACGTAGATTGTCATGAGGAACAAGTAGAGACTCCCGGAAGTCGGCGGAGAGGTGAGTATTTTCATTAGCCATCAAAAGCATTTTAATTGAATAAAAATTTTAACGATTAATTGCGGAATTAATTGTTAACTTCCGCAGCCCTAATTATTACCATTTATCTTTACATTTCAACATGCAGCTAGAATTTCTTAAACTAAAAAACAAATTTCACTTTTTCTTTTCCTCAAAACTGGAGCTTCACTCCAGCCCAAACAAGCACCTACAATATCGACACTTCACATGCAATCAAAATGAACCAGTTTATATCCTATTGGAAGTGAATGGCCACAGCAATGTACACTTATAATAACAATAACAGAACATTAAAAGAAAAAAACATGTACATTACCCTAAACCATACCTTATAACCCTTATCATAAAGTGCAACAAAAATAAAACTGTATAAAACTCACTGCCATCTAAGTGCCAAACACCACCCCGTAAGAGGGGTGTATCATGACTCCATAACAATGTACCAACCACCAGCTGTCCATTAAGAAAAGTGAGTGGGTACAACCATAAATTCTCTTCCTGGCTACTGAAGATATTCAGCCCCAGTACCTCCACCATCTCCACCTCAATATATTCCGTCCCTTTTCCTTCTCTGAGGAGCCATACCTTGATCATAGAAGTGATGGCACTGTCAGTGACCCTCCCCTCCGGTAGAAGACATCTAGAAGTGGCTTCCGTTGGCTAACAAAGGGAAGGGGGGAGGAGTCCGGTGACGTCACGGACATCGATGTCACCGGACTACCCCCCCTTTCGTTCGTTAGCCGACAGAGCCACTTGGGGAAGGGGGGAAGACCCGGAAGACGGCGGAGAGGTGAGTACCGATCAAAATAATTTTTGTATTGTTTGTACGCAGCCCTAATTTTTGTATTGTTTGTATGCGTTCCGGAATGCTGCGATGTGAACGGGAGCTAAAAATACCATTGGAATACATTGGACGCAGTTTTGCTCCGGTCTGTAACTGCTTTGCTCTGCTCCTTGGTGTGAACAAGGCCTAAGAGACAGCATCTGTCAATAAATGAGCATCTAATTGCTGTTATTATCGTTGTTGGAGTGCTGGTGACGTTTTCCTTTTTGTATATGTGTGGCGGCGCCATCCGCAGTCATTTCGAGCACCCGTCTTTTTGTGGGGAGTCCCGGTAAGCAGTGCGGCAAGTTTTCTTTTTTCTTGATTGGGCCCGAACTTTAGTCCTTGGACAAGTAGTTTTTTTTTTTTTATTTCCACACCCCTGCTGCTCACCTGGCCCTTTTTTCACATGTAAACTCTTACAAACACTATGGGGTCTATTTATAAGATTCACATAACTTTCACCCAAGATTCATACATTTTCTGAATTTAATTTAATTGGAAATATGTGTGTGAATCTTGGGTGAAAACATTTATAAATGGATCCTTAAGAGCATATTTCTAGTTGAAATTACTTAAAGCTGAACTTCGGCATAAGCAAATATTATGTTAAATTGAGGAGGAATGTGTACTTTTACTTAAATCATGACATGTTTTGTGTATTTCTTCCTGATTTATGCAGTAATTCAGCATTACACTTTGCCTCTGTACTGGAACTTCCTGAAACAAAGGCTGACCACTGATGCTCTCTCTCCTTTGTAAAGTTAAGGTGCCCATACACTGCTCGATTCTCGTACGAGAATCGCGGGAAATCCCGCGATCGTACGAGAATCGAGCAGTGTGAACGGAGACGGACGACCGTTTCTACTGTACGGCCGCACGTCTTCCGTCGAACCAGCACGTTCGAAAACCAGCCGGGAATCGTACGATTCTCGGTTGGTTAGAACGGTGCTCGGAAAACAAATGCCGAACGGGCCGGTGTGCGCACGCGCACACTGCCCGTTCAGCATTGCGGTCATCGGAAGCCCGCCCCTGAGGGGGGCGGGCTTGCGATGATCGAGAGTGCGATCTGCCTGTCCAAGATAGGCAGATCGTACGTTTTTTTAATCCCTTTACAACCATCGCAAGACTAAGGTCTTGCGATGGTTGTACAGTGTATGGCCACCTTTACTTGTTCTTCCCTGTTCTCTACTTCTCTGCATTCAATCTGTAATGGGTGGGACTGCTCCCTCAGCCCTCTCTGCACAGACTATTGTCCAGCCTAGCCCAGTAATGACTGGGTTTGCAAAGGCAATTGGTACACAGAAAGTAGATTTTTATCACTTGTGACTATTGAGGAATATATTTAACCACTTGCTTACCAGGTGTTTACACCTTCTTCATGGCCAGGCCATATTTTAGTATTAAGCACTGCCATACTTTGACTGACATTTATTCAGTCATACAACGCTGTACTGAAATGAATTTTATACAATTTTTTGGGACAGATACAGCTTTCTTCTGGTGGTATTTAATTACCACTGGGGTTTTTATGTGTTACTATATTAAGGAAAAATAACTAAAACATTTTTTTTTAAAAGTACATTTATTTTTTGGTAAAATATAAAAGACGGGGGCATGTCGGGTAAATAGACACCAAACATGTCAAGCCTTAAAATTGCGCGCACCCGCGAAATCGCAAAAACTACCATACCCAAAATTGGCCATAGGCGACGCTTTAAAAGCTTTTACCGCTCATCAGTTTAGTGTTATCAGTGAATAATGGCCGTAGAATTATTGGTCACTGCGACGTTTGTGGCGATGTGTAACATGTGTGGCGTAATGGGCACAATAGTTATTTTCGCATGTATGCGCACCTGACGCATGTTTGCATGTATGTATTTATTCTTTTTTCATGCATAACTTTCATTTTTTTCATTTTTTTTCACTTAACTTTATTGTTATCACATAGGGGGCTAAGAAGCCCCCCTATATGATAGCAAAGAGGATGTGACAGGTCCTCTTTATGGAGACATCAGGGGTCACCTGGCTGCACATACCGGCACGTTATACAAGTGATCTGGTGGCTCTATAGCCAGCGGATCGCCTGCATGTAAACAGGCATTGCTGCCTGGTTTTAAATTTTAGCAGTTTCCCGCTCGCGCAGGGCACGCACGAGTGGGTGGTGCTAACAGGCTTGTTACATCCAGGAAGCTCCTGGGTGGCCGGTCGAGAGGCGGTTAAATGTAATTTTTTTGGGTGACCAGAGTTCAGTCTTAATCCATTAGCTTGGCCAACCCTGATGTGAAGACCTTTCGAGCTCAGTCAACAAATTCCCCTATTCAGCTCTAATGCCATGTTACGCTCTCATTCTATGGAAAAGCAAAATATTTACATTAAATCTACAAACCAACCCCTTTTAACTTACTGGATATCTTTTTAAAACATTTACCCCCATTTTTACATGGTTGAATTCTCAAAAGTTTTGAGATGTCCCTTTTGTATTTTGCTCCATATGTAGTGGAGCTGTCCAACAGTGTTCAGACTTTGATGAGCCTTTTTGCTTGACATTTCCCCAAATCTTCCTTGGTCCTACTTTTAGGAGATAAATATTATACCCACATAGTGGTTCACACCATTGCAACCCAGCAAAAACTGCCATGTCATGGCTTATGAGAAGCTAGATGCTGCAAGGCATTATGCAAAAATGTTTTGGGGTTTTTTGTTTTGTTTTTTTTAATGGCAAATTTGGCTTTAACACTTTCTTTCACTCTGAGTCATAGATAAATATTATTTCTTTGACAACAGCCCTTTTGATGAATAGGAATACAATTCTAGCCATTCAAATAGCATAGATGTTTATTTCTTTAATTACGTTGGCTTTTTTTGTCATATTGTATTGTTACACTGGTGTTACAATCTTCTGTATTGATAACTGCCCCTGTGATGGGTAATCTTGCCAAACTTTCAATCTAATCTGTTTTAAAATTAAAATAAAACTTTATTGAAACTAAAATATAGTTGTGTTTTCATGGTAAACATAAAATGATGTACATTCAAATAGTTTACACATAAACCTGGGCAGGTGCACAAAAAAATCAACAGGCTTGCTCGATTACAGGTTCCCAGTTCAAGCATCAAAGCATCATCAACCAGTCATCAGCATCAAAACCTTCTTTAACAATGATACAACAGCAGCATATCGTTAATCTTGAGGAAATTATCCAGTTAAAAGAGTGCCTAAGAAAATAATTTTAACTTGTCTGTTTAGAGTTGCAAATAAGGTGCGTGTTTGCATAACTATAAAGTTTATCATGCACAATTGGTTGTTTGCATTTCACCCATCATGCACATACATTGTTTACTGCATATCGGGCAAATTGTCCACGTATGTTGAGATGGATCCAGATCATTAGTTCTCTTTTATACACTCTGCTGTCAGCAAACACAGTTGTAAAGTGTCTGAATTTGTCAACAAGCCCAGTTAAGGTTTTTTGGCTATGCTATTCTGTGTGTTTACCTCAATTAACTGTCAGATTGTCTTACAAATTTGCTAAAAATGTATTCATGTTGGTAGCTTTGTAGGGTAGAGATTGTAAGGTGCTCCAGAGACAGCAACAGTGTTTTGTGTTCAATTAATCTCTGCAAATAAATTTGCTATAAAATAATTATTGTTCCATTTCTCATTTAGGAAATGATGGATATAATTAAAGCCATATATGACATGATGGGGAAATATACATACCCTGTTCTCAAAGATGATGCCCCTAAGCAACATGTGGAACTATTTTTTCAGGTCAGTTTGCAGTACCTTCAAAACAGTAATATTTAAAATAATACCTTGTGAAGAGAAAGTTCAGAATTGACTTACTTCGATGCTTGTATGTTGGACTGATTTTATGATGATAGTTGTGGCTGAAAATAATGCCCAGTTTTTTTTCCTATAACTCCAATAATCTGTTAGGCTTAACATAATAAGATTTTTCAGCTTAAACAAACATAAGATATCTGCCTGTTATTGTTATATTTAATGTTCTATTGAACCTTCTGCAAGTGTTTTTCATTTTGCTTTACTTAGCACACTAGCTGTAAAAGGATATTTGTTTTTGCTGACACCATGCTTGCTCTGATGAAGTCCACAATGGATGAAATGTGTTAGTGATGCGGCACCGCTTATTCATGAGGGTCCTGTTGTATATAGCCCCTATGATATATTCAGATCCTGCATAATTTGATGATGGTGGTCTTGACTGTATGATGACTGGCATTTTGGAGGTTTTTTTACAGAGGTAAATCTTTCTACTATCTACCATTGGGATTATCTTTGGCAAACACGCTGCATGATTGAATTGTATCACGGAAGACAATAAGGGTGTGGCCGTGGGAGGACTGACAACTCATGGGGCTCCTGGACAATTGGAGATCATGAGGCCCCCTGTGTCCTCACACCACACAAAGCCCCACCTACATTCATTTTGCACTGCTCACATTACATACATTATGTTCAAAATAATGTTTATTAAGTTAAGAAAATAAAGGAAAATAAACTTACATTAAAGAAAGTGCAACAATGGTAAATTTTCAAAATAAAGGTTTTAATAAATTAACAAAATATAATAACTGAACATTTTAGTAAGATAACAAAATGTAGAATATAAAAACTTACATCACTGAAAATACAACAAATCTCTTCATATTAGCTAAATGTGAGCAGCAATTTCAACATATTACAATAGTGCATCATAAAAAAAGAAAAAAAGCACAGCATAAAAAAAGAAAAACGTGCATCATAAAAAAAATGTAAGAATTTGAATGTGGGTTGCAAAATATACAATATTTAACTGAATGGTTGACAGCATATTGTAGAACAAACCCTGCACAATATTAGGAGAAAAAAACTTCTGTAAAGTACACACACACGTAAACTAAACAAAACTAGTTTTTAAAACTCATTAAAACTCTGTCAATGATTTTATCTTTGTCACTCTTTCGGGGTTATTCACTAAGCTGCCAAAGGCAGCCAGGTGAGTAACAGAGCCAAAGTGAAGGGAGCCAAACACTGTTTGGCTATTCACTTTAGCCCTGTATGGCTGATTTTAGCCATACATCGCCTGGCTTCGGCTCCCTTCAGTTCAGCCGAACATGCTCAGCATGTTCAGGTGAGCCGAAGTGAAGAACACGTTCGACTCAGAAGATTCCAACATCTGGATTGGCCGAACGACATTTAGTGAATAGCCAAATGCTGCCAAATGTAGCGAGCAAAATAAAAAAAGAAAAGTGTGGGGTCCCCGTCCCGATCCATACCAGACTCTTTAGAGGTTTGGTAGGAAAGTAAGGAGGGAACCCCCCCCCCCCCCCCCCGTTAAAAATAAT